TAAATTCACTACGTTGTATACCTTAAACTTATACAGTGTTATATGTCAATTATATCTCAATAAAGCTGGAAAAAATAAAATAATGGAATGAGACTTCTTTAAATAAAATTATACTCAAATGTAAATAAAAGCAGCTTAGGCTTTAGATTCAAACAGGTGTTTGAATATGAGCTCTGTCACTTAGCACCTCTGTAACCTCAGGCAAATTACTTACACTTTCCCATCCTCAGTTCCCTCTCCTGCTCTGTGGTCATACTCATTTTCTATCTCACAGGGATCCTTAGGGAATGATTTAAATAACACATAGTGAGCACTTGATAAATGTCTGCCATTTAATATTGTCATTATCATTACTTCCAATATAACAAGATGTGTCATTTTTAAAAAATGGCTATCGCTTTGACATATAAAAAAGGATATGGAAAGAATGATTAGCTAATTAGTTTAAATCAGGTAAAATAATCATATTTATTTCTTTAGAGCATTAAAATTGCATTTGTTGTAAACTAGTATAATAGCTTACTATGTTTACACAATAGTTAATTTAGTACTAAACTAATTAGTGAATTTGGTATCATCCAAAAAGAGGCTGAAAAGAAATCAAAGTGATCTGATTAAATTTTTTATTTTCAACCAGCTGTGTTTGCTGAAAATATGCCTAGCAAGAGACACATGGAAGTGGGTTTATGGTGGCAAACACAGATTTCCCTTCTTTCTCTCTTTTTTTTTGTGTGTGATTCAACCACATTCTCACCTTTTGAGATGAAAGGAGTTTCAACCTCCTTACCATATCTCCAGAGGACAATTTGTAAAAAGAAGCATTTAGGGAAGATTCTCGGGCACTGTTTTATCAACTACTTTCCAGACCTTCCACTTAGGGATCATAGAACTGTTCTTGAATTTATTCCTTAATCTTTTGTTGTTGGAAAGGCTGTAAATTAAAGGAAGTAAGTGGGAAGATTCACAAGTTTATTAACATTGTACCAAAAAGTATCATTCCATTTTTTTCTGAGTCAAGTAGACTGACAGGATATTTAAAGGGTAAATGCTGTAAGTGACAGTTAATGCCATAATGATTAACCTCTATGAAGTTTTTACAGGCTCCAGATTTCTCTTTTCTTCCTCCCTTCTTTCCTTCTTTCCTCCCTTCCTTCTTTATTTCTCCCCATCCTCCTTCTTTTTAGCTATTTTTTTTTGTCTGAGGCAGTTCTGTCCATATGATTGCGAACATGAATCTATAGACGGATTCAAATGCTATCAAAGGGATTCACTTGTGACATTCTAAATGGGATCTCATTTCTGCAAATAGCAAAGGAGTGGAGTGCACACTGCAGCTCCATTTTGGTTGGCTTTCTCAGTAAGAGGTTCCCCGTATGTTGGAGAGTGAGGAGGCGCTGGTCACTGGCAATGAGAACACTTGGAGGCGGTGGGACAGCGAAAGGTGGAAGAAGGAGTGAGAGCTGTTGTGTTGAATTTAATTAATGAAGCTGCGTCTAGGACTCTGGTCTGTGCTTCACTGACACCATTTCCACAACTTTACCTTTCCTTCCTCCTTCTATACTTGGCCTCTCTTACTCCTGACCCATCTCCTCCACTGAGACCCGATTATTCCAGCCAGTTATAAGACAAAGTATAAATGAGAAACAAAGTACCATTTAATGAAAATAGATGGATAGTTTTATGTATTGGATTTTTTTAATGCAATGGTTCTATGTGATTTTTAAAATTTAAAATATTAGCCAAAGCATGGTCATCCACAGGGACATGAAAATAAGGATTAACACAACCCTCCACAAAAATGTTGTGCACAAAAAAGCATTGCCCTGCATGAGGACACTCAATGTTTCAGCGTGCTCAACTACTATTTCTCTCAATTTCTTATTGAGCAAAATACAAATAAAAGTAAAATAAATATACTGTGCATGTTTTGGAGGGAAAAACGTGTTCAGCTTTTTCTCCTCATTTATTCAGGGCAGTTCGGGTCTGCCTGCTTAGATGTCTCTGGAACTCTGTGTACTAGAGTTGCTAACGCCTGTGGTCCTGCTCAAGAAAGGACTGTTGACGGCCTTGCTGGTGGGTTGTAAATGTGGAGATAGATGTTCATCCTCTATAACCAAGTAATTAGATACCAAATCACAAGTATTAATAGAGAATCTGGCATTTCCTGGAAGCTTCCGAAAGTAATCAGGTTGTGTGTTTTTGATACAAATACTGATGCAATGAGTAATTCTAAAATGTTTGCTCAAGCTGTGAAAGAGGAAGCTGTGGCGAAAAGTATTCGACACGCTTTCAGAGTATTAGTTCTCAATCTTGGCTGCACATTGGAATTGTTTGGGAAAAATTTAAGACAACTCTTGCCTGGATCCTACCCCAGAGATTCTGACTTGGTTGGTTTATGGGGCAGCCTGGGAACAGGAGTTTTTAAAGCATCTCAGGTGATTCTAATGTGCAGTGCAGGTGGAGAACCACTGCCCCATGGAAGGAGGCAGCGCGTCTGCAGCCAGCTGGGGAATATTGGGTACCGAGCCTGGGACTCCAAGTGTGGTCCGAGGAGCAGTAGACTCCACAGCCTCTAGTTACAAGTGCAGACTCTCGGGCCCTCACATCAGACTTATGGAATAAAAATTGCATTTGAACAGGACCCCTGAATGTTCCAGTGCACGTTAAATTTTGAGAAACATTAAGGCACCTGAGCCCACAGGAGTCCTTGAGGGGCTGTGTTAGGGTTGTAATTAAGAGAAACTTCCTAGCCCTAATCTCCTCCACTTAGCCAAGAAGGCTTCAGTTTTAATTTAGCTTTACTCATGTGCCTCCCTAATGGAAAGAAGTATTTCTTTATTACCATGCATTAAGTTGGATTTCAGATGAAAGCCAGACTTCTTCAAAAGTCTAAAAGAATTTTCTGAGTAGGAAAAAGCTTCTTCCAATATAGTGCCCATAAACAGTGGCTTTCAACTCCAGTTGCATATTACAACTACCTGGAGAGCTTTCTAAACACGCTGCTTCCCCATCAGCTCTACTGAGTTATAATTTCTGGGGGTGGAGGCCCACATTGGCATGTTTTAAAGCTCTCCATGGAGTGAGTGTGCAGCTGGCTTTAAGAACCACTAAGGATGAACTCTAAGTTCATTGACTGCTATATATTGGTGCCTCATTTAATCCAAATATAGTGGTGTAAGTCATTTTGGCTCCCTTGTAGATTGTTATCAATTACTTCATTAAAATGTATCAACCTGGATTGTAAGAACAATGAAATATTTAGTGCATGGTAACTTTATATCGCCTTCAGTTTACCCCTACTGCATAGTTAACCATTGATTACATTAATAAAGTAATGACAAGCATATAAATAGAAATACCTAAATAATATTAGTATTTTACTTTATGAAATAAAACATTTCATTTCACAATCTCTTTGCCTTGTCATATCTTTAGACAAGCATAAACATTGGCTTGCACTCCTGGGTACCAGCCAGCCGCGTAGTGCAAAGAGACATCACTATGGTGCAACTTGGCAGGAAGACATCAGCTGTCATTAAAAATCCACAAAACAGATAGAGTGCAATACAATCTTCTGGTTGAGGGGCTGAAATTGCCTATCAGGTGAAATGATACACATGGATGGCATTTTTGTCGTCAAACACAAGTTGAAAACGACGAGGAAACCAGACAACTCAGTGGAATAGTGGAGCACATAACTTAGCTGAAGAATGAGAAACATGTGACTTAACGAACATGAGCCGGCTTGCCTCTAAATCACTGCCAAATCATTTTTAAAATAAACTCCACAAAGTATGAAACATGGAATAGTGCGCAGTTAAAACCTCCTCTCGAATAAATAGTTTTTATTTCCATCTTGAAAATAAAAGCTTCAAGCACAGAATTCCACTGCAAATTCAATTTGGCTCTTCCTAAGTCGGTCATCTGTTTGGTTCCTTAGATTTTCCATTTATGAAGAGGCATTTGTCCTTGAAGTAAGCTTTGCAAAGATTATTTGTGTAAGGCATTATTAGCGTCTTGTTCAGAATGACATTTTCAAGTGCAAAGATAAACGTAAACGCTATCGAAGCCACACACCTCTGACAGCCCTGTGCTGGCCTGTTGGGAAGAGCTCCATCCAGATACCAGAAGACATCCTTAAACCACCTGACCTTCTGTGGCCAGGACAGGTCTTTGAAACTGATGATTTAGATTCTTAACTTATGTCATTAGATAACAACATAAAATTCAAGAGACCTCGGGCTAGAAATAATCCTATTTAAAAACCTTTCCTCTTTTCCATTAGGCTTAGAGTCAGTCTTAGATCAAATCTTAAGGTAAATGAGAATCCTCAATGGCCTATGAAGAAAATCTATAACAGTAAATTGTATCTAAATATAAAAGCATTATATATTTATGATTAAATGCTTAATAAATGATGAACTATTTAATTGAGAACAATCCAATTATTCGCACATCACAGACTTTTCTCATAAGTCTGTTACTGAAATTTTGCCATTTTATTATTTGCAGATCCTAGAAGCAAATCATGTAGGGATAAACAGTGGTCTTGGGCAGGTTTGGGGGGAATGCAAGAATCAGCTGAAATAGGGTGCTGTTTTTAACCCATTGGGTATATGGCTAATTTTGTTCTTTTACAGTTTTTAGAGTAAGTAGAAGTGTCTCTACTTCCATGAACTTTAAATGTCACATTAAGAAGGTATAATCAAGCATTTCAGGGGCAAAATTAGGAACCATACAGAAGGTAGAGGAAATTGCTCAGGCTAGGTGCTGCCTCCGGACTTTGCTGGTAACTCCAGGTATGACCTCAGGTGAAACAGTTCACTGCTGTTGGCAGATACCCCATCTTTCCAATCTGGAGGTTTGGCTAGATCTACTCTAAGGTCACTTTCGATTCTCAAAATACCCTATGGCTTACTTCTGGTTTAGTCATGACATAATGTGAATAATAAACAGGATAACATATTCCAATTTTGAATTTTGATTTCAAGAATACTTACAGCTAAGGCTGGTGGTCCTGGGGGTCCCGTATCTCCCTAAAATAGATTTTAAAAAGCTGCAATTACCAATAGTCCCTTTTTGCACGTATGATTTATAAATATTCTGAGTGGCTAGAAGCAATATCTAGATAAATCTTGAAGGAAAGAAAAATAGAATTTTATCTTGAAAGAAGTCTCTGCACAACAAAAAATGTCTCGTGTGCTTTTAGCTTTCATGACATAAATATCACCTTGAGCACACCCATGCTTTTTGCAGCAGCAGAACTTGCTTTGAAAAGCTAAAATAATCTAATTTCTATTCTTTTGTCTACTAATCCAAAATTAGAAAGAATATCTCTTCCAACATGGTTACTTGCCAGTGGAGCAGCTGGGAAATGTTACAACGATGGATAATTTTTCTGACAAAGTTAGAACGAGGATCAGCAGAAACAATAAGTGGGTCTCCCCACTTCACGCCTTCCAGCTGCAAGAAGCGGTCCCATTGTCTCTTCTAAAGCTCTGCTGAGTTGGCATTGCACTTGCCATCAACTGTAAGAGGCTTTGCCTATATTTATGCATTTTTAAATATTAACATTGCTTTGCTGACCTATGTGAATACAAATTACCAGGTGATTATATTGACAAACTATTCAAAATCTTTAAAAAATGATTCATCTAAAAGTTCACTATTTTCCAGTTTATAAATACGTCACCTGTATGCTTGACTGCATCAGCACCCCTCTTTATTTCATAAGAACTCAGTTACGAAGACCAAGCATCTCTGCTATGATCCTTGTTTAAGGGGACATCATGGAGACCACACACTGTGTGTGGGGCACGGGGAGGCTGCATTCTTGTGCTCAGGCTTTCTCTTTTCTCATCTCATACAGTCACCTCAGAAGTTAAGACTTAGCATTGTATAATCATTATTTTTGGGAAACAATTGAATAAAAATAACCGATAGTTGTTAAGGAACATTGATGTAGCTTAAATCAGTCCCCGAGGGCTGATGTGCAAGACCAGCTTTAACATGGAGGTCGATACATAAGTATCCACTTTGGATTAAATATGTGGATGCTGTAAATACCTGAAGGATTTCTAAATGCGCTGAGAATAGAAACAAAATACAGTGCCGAACATCCACACATTCAAGTTTCATCACAACTCTGGCTTTTACTATTTCTTAATTCTCTTTTCAAGGTTGTTGCCAATTATAAAATGGCATACAAGAAAAGGTGGCAGGAAATGGAGCATTTAGACGAAGACTGAGGTTCAAAGTTAGCCTCCCTCCCCCGAAAGGCCACCTGCTTCACCATCAGGGTAGCACCTCAGTGCTACTGGCAGGGTCCCTGACACGGGACACAGCTGCTAATTTAGTGATGGAATACCTCACGCTGTTAAGCAAGGGAGAGAAAAGGGGAATCTTAAAAACACAAATTAATGTCGACCAGCAATTGTGCATTGAGTCTCTTCAAACTTATTAGATGAACCAAAAGGCTTTTCTTGTTCAGATGCTTTTAACGTAACAGCCTTTGGTTAATTTTAACACAATCCACTTTTGGCAGTTAAACAGTATTAATGAAAAGTCACTGCATAGGTTCTCAAAGTTTTCTTCAGAAAAGATTGGCACTTTCCCGAGTGAATACAATACCTTTTCTCCTTTCGGGCCAGGTGGACCACGAGGACCCAAGTCACCTTTCAAACCCTGTGCAAAGAATACAACCACTGTGATTTCTATATACACTTCAGAGAATGCTTCAATTCCCAACAAGTCATTTGTCACAAGATAAATCATAATTTACTGGATTCCCAAACCCATTCTTCAGTGCATAGGATAGAGACAACCGGCACTAACATGCTAAGTGACATCTGTGCTGTGGAGGGTACAGACACACTCCGTCAGCGCGAGGCCTCAATACTGCATATTTGTGCAACTTTGCTTCCTGCTCAAATTACATTAATTCACCATCTGGGAGAACATCATTTAGATCTATATGGGCTTTTAAGTATCCGCTTTGGATTAAATATGTGGATGCTGTAAATACCTCTGATTTAGCATTGATTTGGCCTTTATAAAGCTTGCCCAAAAAATTCAAGATTTAAATTAAAGACATTTTTACATCTCCATCAAGAAATCTAATTGTGGGGGAAAAGGAACGAAGGATGTATTCTTCTCCTATGACTCATAAAGCTGGAGCTAAAATGTAAGCTGTTCCTGTTTTGAAGTATGTTTTAGTTCTCTAATTCCTGTCTTTTTTTCTACCTGGATTTGTAAAGATATCAAAATGAAACTATATAAGACATAGATAGCATATCAGATGACTATATTCATGAATCTTCTGGACTCTCGAGTGTTGGGGTGGATATTTAGTTGATCTGACTCAGAAGTGACAGCTTTCAGCAATATCCTGATAGATTTCACTGAGGAGGTCAGTTCCACACTGAATGTGTTCACAGTGTAAGAAAGCTGGACAGACACATCATGGCCGTATGGTAAACAGGAATAAAGAGCTTTCCTCATCCTTTTTAACACATTGGAGGAAGGAAGAACAATAATGAAAAAAAGGAATATTCTGAAGCCACACGATGCACAGTAAACCTGGGGTCTCACTGTTCCTAGCTGACGGTCCCAGCTATTCCTGCTCTGACATTTTGTGGCAAATAAACAATGCCAAATGCCTCCCCTATAGCTACTCCATATAGAAGCCAATGATGAATTTAAAGGAACAAAAGAAAACTGGATATTTAAAATAATCTTGTTGCAGGGAGTACATGAAAACTGTAGTCTTTAAGAAAAAATTTAATGGGTGAAAACAGCACCTAATTCGCAAAAAACCTTTGTAGTTGCATAAATAGCTTCATGGATAAAGTTCATAGCTTTGTTTCTTCTATCATTACTTTGGAGCAGTTATAGAATTAGGATGAGTGAAAATTATATCTGAGATGTGATATTCTCCTACTATTTGAAATACCTATTCCTTCCCAAATCAAGCAACACATACTCTATTTGTACAAGCCTCTGAAGTAAAACTTGGGACCAGCATGTTCTGAACACTTGGGCGAAGAAAACCGCCATTTTTGTGAATAGACTTTATTCTTAATTCACTCACCCATTCATCCATTTATTCAGTAAAGACTTATTATATACCTTGTGTGCAGTCACATTTCCAACCTTCAGACTTGCAGCATCACTACAGTAGCCATGTGCCACATGTAGCTTTCGAGTTCTTGAAATGTCACTAGTCTGAGTTGAGATGCATTGTGCGTGTAAAATCCCATTGGGTTTTCCATATTTAGTACAAAAAAGAGTGTAAAATAGCCCCTTAATAATTTTTATATTGATTATATATTGAAATGATAACATTTGGGATATAGGATTAAATAAAATATATTATTCAAATTAGTTTCACCTGTTTCTTTTTACCTTTCTTAATGTGTCTACTAGAAAATGTAATATATTTACATTTGTTATGAATTTGTAATACTATATTTAAAAATATAATACATACATATAATATTACATATTATATAATGCATATAACATATAATAGTTATACTAGATAGCACTATTTAGAGATACAAAAAAGAACAAGAAGTTGACAAAGGCTCTCCTTTACCAGACTTTAGTCGGGCTCCTCTGAGCTGTCTTCTTTACTAGGCCTCAGCCTTGGTACCCCTTCTGTCCTGTCTTTGGTCTGCCTAACCCAGTTTTAGCAAGAATCTCGTTAATTCAGTTTAGAGAGAACCATCCCCACCCACCCCACCCTTGACATCTGATCAATCCCTCATCCTCAACTTTTGAGGTTTAAGTCTTTGGCCTGTCTTCTGAGAGAATCCTGTTAAGTCATTTTAGCAGGAATCCCTCTATCCCTGATATCTGCTCTTAGTAATTTTCCACCCACTGACACCTTCATTCTGTTCATTAGCTAGATATCCCCACGTGCCCTTGTTGCCTTCCCAGTTGAGCTCAATCTCTCTCCCCTACTTCAATACTCCAATTGCAATAGTCTTGAATAAAAAGTCTTCCTTACCGCTTTAACAAGTGTCAGAATAATTTTTTCCTTAACAAAGTCAAGATTCTCGCCCTTATGGAACTCATGCTATAAGAGGAGGTGGCTGATGACAAACAGGTCAACAGGGTGAATATTATGAGGGCAAAGGGGGAAAGCTGCTACTCCATTGGGGGGGCCGGAAACAGCCTCTGTGTGGAGGTGACATTTGTGGTTTTATAGGGCCAACCATGTGATGATCCTGGGAAGAATGTTGGGGGTAGAGGGAAACGCAAGCACAAAAGCCTGCAGGTGAAAGGAGTGAGCGTCCTGAGCTGCAGATGAGGAGCAGGGGATGAAGTCAAGGTGAGCAAGGGGTCACGGCACATAGAGAATTGTAGGCCACGGGAAGAAGGATGGGTTTTGTTCTAAGTGCAGTGAGAAGCTACTCAGTGTTTTAGCAGGGAAATACAGGATGTGACTGTCTGCTCCCCACCCTCCCAAGTCACTTTGGCTACAATGTAAAGATAGATTGTACTCAGCAAAAGTGGAAGCAGAACATGGGCTATCACAGCTTCCAGGCTAGAAGGCAAGATGGCGGGACCACGGGTGACAGTGGACATGGAGAGAAGGGGTTGGAATTGGCACATAGAAGGCAGGACCTGCAGATATGCTAGAAATGAAGACAGGGAATGGAAGCATCAAGGTGATCTGCACTTCGCTTAAGTAAGTGGCTAGGAGGCTATGCTGTTTACCGAGCTGAAAATTTATTAAAAAGAGATTTTCTATCTTCTTGCTGGTGTAACACTATCCAGAGAAAAGACAAACATGAAGAAAGAAATGGCTGAGAAAGGCATCAAGTACTCATTTATTCAACAAGCCTTATTGAACAGCTACCAACATGCAAGACTAAACCCCCTATGCCTATGAACAGATAAACATGAAAACATTATTTTTAAAAATGGAAAGGAATATTAAGCAGGAAACATTATTATAATAATAATAGTTATTATTATTATATTATTCAGGAAAATGGCTAACTCTGGGGTGGGCATGGGATGACACTGAGCTCTGGATCCACTGGTTTTCCAGTTATTACTATGACATAATCATCACATACGTTACCTGTGACAAAAATATTATTTTAGACATAAAATAATATATTAAAAATTGTCAACATTCCTGCCTGACTAACCCTAACTGCAACTTCTGGGGAAGAGAGTTATGGCAATTGAATCAGTTAATTATCACCACAGTCAGGAAGGTGGAAGGAGGATAATGCAATCAGTTACGACTCAGTGTGAATATTGAGCACTATTGTAGATGCACACAGCAGTTCCAGAGATGCCTAATTCCACTGGAAGTGCTCAAGACTTCCGGGATGTGGATTTCAGGAGAGTCAGGAAAGGAATGGCATTTTACACCCAATCTTGGGTAAGTTATTTAAGCTTCCCTATAAAAAAGGTATAAATAATAGTTATCTTGAAGGGTTGTTCTGAGAATCGTACGTCGTAAAAACACTTAGCACATGGTAGGAACTTAATGTTGCTTTTACTTTTCAAGTCCAAGTCTAAGGGATCACTAATAATTCATTCTGTTCAGTGTTGTACTCAGTTTGATGGATATGGAACAACTGTGCTTTAATTCACATAGGATAAACTGCATTGAGAAGCACTGCATTTGCCAAGCTTCCACTTTTATGGCCACTGAAGTAGGACCATGTAACTCATGTCCTCCTGTGATAAAGTGCAATGTTGTTAAGGCCAGGGCACCATAATGGGCTCTGAGAAACAGATCAGTAATGCCTCTTCAAGTGTAGTTTTTCTCCTCATGTCACACTGGTGCTGCTATCAATGGTTATTCAGTACTGGGGAGAAAAAGACACAGCACTCACCATAAAGCATGAAGAATTAAACGGAACAGACTCTGAATTTCATATTGAATAAGATAGGCATTTACTATAAAGGTTCTCAATAAAATTCACGTATATAAAGATTCTCAAAAGCACAGTAGTTGATTCTGCATGTTATACGGAGACAAGAACCCTTATGAAAGCTGAAGGACAGTATTACAATTAGAATTATAAAAGCAGGTAGACTATGAAATTAATTTTTATTGGAAGACCTACTACTCATGGTATGTAGCATCTTTAAAAATCAGAACATGATACGAAGTAATGTTATTTGTTAAAAATTTTTAAGTCATCAGTCAACTCTTTGCCCCGACTTCCACTGACTGCATCATATTCCTTAGCAGTGGCACCAGCTGTCGCCAGCTATCTCAGCTCTGTGATTTCAATGCTTTTGTATTCAGTATTTCAGATTGCATTAGTATAAGGAGATTAACATGATTATTTTAGGAACATCAGATGCTGTAATTCTGATAAGGGATGTTTGAAAGACAATAATAAAGATGCAGAGGAAGAGACTAAACTGAATGATTGAAATCTACTTTTCTAAGATTATATAACCCCACAAAAACAAACAAATGAAAAGATATTTCTATTTGAGATAAATGTTTTATTCAACCTAGTTTCTAATAATAGCAAATGTTTATATTGCTCTTACTGCATACAAGACGTTGTTCTAAATGCTTTATGTATGATAACTCCTTTCATCCTCAAAAAAAAAAAAAGAAGCCTTGAGATAAGTGTTATTAATATTATCATCCCATTGTGCAAATGAAGAAACTGAGGCAGAGAGAATAAGTCATGTACCAAGTAGGATGCCAGGTAGGCAGAGGCAGAGCCAGATGTGAGCCAGGCAGTCTGCCTCCGAAGGCCACATTAACAACTTTATAAGACTCCCTCTCAAGTCCATTCTGAGATGTCATCGTTGAATGTGTCTCATATTAGGTCACAACCAAAATCACTTAATTATAAACTAGGATGTGTGTAAAGCTAAGGTCTTGCATTTTGAAGGCTAAATTCTAGCAATTCAATTTTTTTACAATTTCAATCTGGTTTATTTATTTATTTATTATGCATCATTTAGACTGTAAGGGAAATAGGAACATGTGTTTAGCTCAATACTCTAATACTTTGGAGATCAATCCAAAGTTTATTCACACACACACACTGCCAAGGATGCATTTAGAAAGATATCAGAGTCCTTTGTTTTTTTTGGCCTAATGATTAAGAGCTGCTACTGGCATTTAGCTGTTGACCTTCAAGGATGCTAAACACTCTGCTCTTGCAAGACAGCCCCACAGGACAAAGAATTTGTCTTGCCCAAAACACCAACAGTGTCCCGTTAAGGAAGACTGAACTGCCGCATATGGCCCTTTAAATCAGGTTTACACTTGCCACAGTGAGCTTGCCCATTTTGTGGGAAAGCTGAAATGGAAGAAATTATTAAAAGATACATTTACATCAAACTATATGTAATATCCGAAAATAAAGACTATTAAAAAGGCTTTTGAATTCATTCAGTAGGGATATTAAATTCTTCCAATTTTCTCTGACTTGGAAACTAGCCAGAGGGAGCTGGTCCATTGAGTTTATTCCCCCTGCATTCTAACAGGATGTTTCTGAAGTTATAATCCCATCACAGCTTGACTTTAATTCAGATCGAAACAGCTATTCTAGAACCTTCATTCCCTAAGAACGTGGACCTTTGCGGACCGAAAGTCAGAGCGAACCTTCATAATCGCTCAGTGATTTTAGTGGGCAGTCAGTTTATTTGAGCATTGACAAACAGGCAATGGCAAGTGTGGCATGATTTAGAGGGAAAATAGACTTTTCAGTCAAACATGTAGAATTAAAGGCTGATTTTACCATTTTCTAAAAGAAAGTTGCTTTATTTCCCAATCTTTATTTCTTGCCTCTGAAAACAGGGATGGTACCACCCGCTACGCTCGCCAGCCCATAAAGCTGGGGTACGGATTGAATTTCAAACTCCCTGTGAAAAGTTTCTGAACTATAACACAATATTAACACATCACCACCAAGAATGAAATAATCGAGCATTTGTCCATTTTCCTCGGACTTAAAGTCATTCTAGTGATAGGAGAGGGAAAAAGGACACCTTTCAATACTTTCTCTGATTTCTCCTTAGTCATGACTCCTGAATATCTTTGGCAAAACTAAGGAAAGGAAAATAGTATCATCTACACATCATAAAGTAACGAAGTGAGAGAAGTTAATGTTTGTCATGGTTTATCATGTACCTAATGAGATACATTAGACAGTGATGGTGCTAAAGAAATTACACCTGCAACTGGGGGCATGTGAAGGGCTCTTCAAGATCCTTGTCGGAGAGGAGAGGTCACCCTGCCCACTGGGCCATGGGCTCTCTCAGCGAGGTGGCCTTGTTCAGACTTGGAGCTCATGCCATGGCTGCCCGAGCATCTGGGCATGTAGCAGGCACTCCGCCGCATGTGTGCATCAATCAATTAATTCTAAAAAGCCACATCACCTTACTGTCAGACAACATGAGAAAAATTTCCAAATTTATAAGCTAATGTGAACCTACTTTGGGTTCCAACCCTTCAAATCTCCTTCCAGTTTTAGCCAAGTGTTTGGATAAATCCTCCCTCTCTTTCAATTCTAATATTATCATAATGAACTTCTAAAAATCTTTGTTTTGCTCCTCCATCTCAGAGAGCCACAGACATGCAGCTTGGTTATCTTTGGCAACGTTGTCATTAACCTTGTTCAGCCCCCATGCGTTTATCACAAGACAATATCCTTCCCAGGATGAACGGTCCAAATCTTGGGCTATTTTGAGTTTCTACCGCCATAAAGTGCCAAATTACGTATGTTTGACCTCTGCAATATCACTATCTGTGCACGCACTCCTTTCTCTCTCTGTTATCCCAGTTTAGACTCTAATTTCTTATATTTTAGACTATTATAATAATCTCAGTTTTTTTAAATGAAAATTTAGTAAATAATTACTGGGAACTTATTCACTCTAAACATTTACTAAGAACTAGAGATTCCAAGAAATGGTCTTTGATCTCACAAAGAGCATGCTAGAAAGAGCAAAAACACAGGCGAAGGCCCAAATTCTATCCCTTTTATAGAACACACTGGGCCCGCCTGCCTGTGTGCAGAGGGGAGGGCAAGCCCCTCACACCCAGCCCCCCGCCACCTGGCTCCAGCTGGGCTCCTCTCTCCTTTCCCTACATTGCCCTACATCGAGCGGGAATTCCAAACACCTGAACAAAGGCTTTAGATGGCATAATGATTTTCAAGTTCGTAATCTTACTAATCTCTTCGTGTAAAATGACAGGACATTATAGTGATGGGGACTTCAGAATCTATTCTATTACTTTACAGACTCTGAGAAGTGATTTTCTCAACTAGTGACAGACCTAGGACACAACCGGGTTCGGGCTTTCCCCTCCAGAACTCTTACCCCTACAGCAGGTACCTCGGGACTGGGGTAGGGAGGTGAATCAGATGCTCTATTTCAGTGTAGGGCCAACAGCTGTGACACGCAGCGTCCTGACGTACCAAAGGAGGTAGAGAAGATGCAGACTCCTCCAGCTACAAGCCACTGATGGTAGCTCATTCTTTGGCATAGAAAATCACCTCATAGGTGAGAGGAACAAGAATGAAGGTCATATTCAAGACACGACTGGGGCTTCTTAGGAAGAGAGTAAAGTCGTCGGGTCAGAGTACCAAGCCAGTGTTAACTCCGGGGACATTTCTCTTTTGGAGCCCCCGCCCCCTCAGGTATCCCTCTTACGTGGTCCACAGGCTCCAGGGACCACATGATCAGCATCTCTTCCCACTGTAACGATTGACTGCAAACAAGATGGGCTTCATAACAGCTCCAGGACATCAGGGAACCAAATCTGGCCTCCTCATTCTTTTATCCATAAATCAGGTAGTGTGGCCCTTCAGAACCTTTCTAAAACATTTTTACGAAAGTGAAAAAAGGAAACTGTGGAAAAAAATAATTCTCATCATAGACACTTCCCCCAGTAAAGTTAGCCAATGGTGAGTTTGACCTGAAGTAAGAGCAATCTGCATTTCAGAGGAAAACCAGATTTGGGCTATCCTTCAAATTTCATCATAAGAACTGGAAGCTCCAGAGGGATAATGTTCTAGTGAGAAGAGGAGGAGATGCTAGGACTTGAGGCTGTTCCTGGGGATGGCATCCCAGGATGCCATCTGCAACCCTGAGGTTGAAGAACTGAGCAGTGGCAGGTGAGCAACACGCAGACACAGGTCTCCCTTCCATGCCTAGGATCCCACCTTCACAGTGCCCTCAGTGGACAGAGATCTGGGCTAAGATGAAAAGGAGCCCTGAGTAAGAGCACAGGCCACAGGAGAATGCACGTAAGAAGAAAAAAGACAGAGAAAGGAAGAGGGGAAAGATGCAAGCCAGAAACAGCAAGGACGGAAGGACTGCTAAGGATGAACGCAAGTATGAAATAGACAAGATGTATAAAACTAAGGAACCACTTGTAACAAAACTAACAACCCTGGGCCTCTCCGGAGCCCCTCCTTGACTCCTGATGCACTGGTGGTGTCCAGTTCTCCCAAGGATAGCAGAATCTTAGCAGTGCCAGAAAGTCAGCATATTTCAGGGGCAAAATGTAAACAGAATGTTAGAAAAAAAGAGTTAGGCTTACGTCTTGTCCATTAATGCCAGCCAACCCTGGATCTCCTTTTTCTCCTTGTTCGCCCTAGAAAGAGACAATTATATGATGAAAAATGTTACATTTGAAAACCTTTACTAAGAAAAAATGAGTTACATTGTTTGGGTATTTATAACAACATGATTACTTTGCTAATCCCTTGAAAGAAATATTTATTAAAAAAACAATTCTGAGGGCTAAAACCAAAGAGAAGGTTAAAGGCTCAAAGAAAAGCTGCATAAAAATGATTAAAAGGATAGAAATAGAAGAAGGGTTATTTATTTTCTTCTATAAGCAACAAAGAATTTTCCTGAGGGCAATTCGGCAATATACGTCAAGGGTCTTAAATCTGTTCATTTCATTTGGCCCAGTGATTTTTGCTTCTGAGAATGTATCCTAAGGAAATAATTAGAGATGAAAAGTTTTAAGGCACTAAGATGTAGAGTGGGATGCTAGTTATAGTAGTAAGAAAAAGAGAAACATCCTAAATGTCAATAATAGGAAACCGGTTAAATAAAATATGGCACATAGACACAATGGAATATGATGCAGCCATTAAAATCATGTTTATGAATTTTATTTTATACTATAGGAAAGCTCTCATGATGTAAAAAGTAAGACACAAGTAATGGATTAAGAAATTTAGTGAGTGTTAATTAATACCTATTTTGGTTAATTTAAAGTGACAAATGTTCAAAATGGCCACTAATACCATTGCTGATGACACATACTCATAGTGACATATATATTCACTTGATTACCTTCTGAAAGGTATATACTTTTATTAGTGCACCCTGCATATCTGTAGTATTAATTCAAAAAATTTTTTAAAAATGCCTGTCTACCTATCCATCTACCTGCCTACCTGCGTATTCATCCACCTATGGGTCTTAGAAACAACAGAGGAAGAAAACAAATCAGAACAATAAAAGTGGTTAATCTATGCATTTTGTGATTATGGATGATTTTTTCCCCCTTCATTATACTCCTCAGTGTTTTTCAGTTTTTTAAAGCAATAAACATATATTATCTGTATAATTAGTAAAGTGCTTAAAAATAAAAGAATATGTTATGTATAGAAAAACTCGTCCAAGTCTATCACATATCACTCTGTGTGTGTGTGTGTGTGCGTGTGTGTGTGTGTAGTAACAATAATAATTCTCTCTGCTTTGAGCCACCCGGGTGATTTTATTTTCTTCTTTATGTATTCTGTTGTTCTTTTTTTTCTGCAATGAACATTATTTTTCATTTTTAGTTTTTGGTGAGGAAGATTGGCCCTGAGATAACATCTGTTGCTAATCTTCCCCTTTTGCTTGAGGAAGATTGTTCCTGAGCTAACATCTGTGCCAATTTTCCTCTACTTTTTGTATATGGGACACTACCACAGCATGGTTTGATAAGCGATGTGCAGGTCTGCACCTGGGATCCAAACCTGTGAACCTCGGGATGCTGAAGTGGAGAGGGTGGACTCAACCACTATGCTACTAGGCTGGCCCCTGAACATTATTTTTATTTGCAAAAAAAAAAAAAAATTTAAAGAGGGGCCAGCCTTGTGGCCAAGTGCTTAAGTTCACACTCTCCCATTCGGTGGCCCAGAGTTTTGCAAATTCGGATCCTGGCCACAGACATGGCACCACTCATCAGGCCATGCTGAGGTGGCCTCCCACACAGCACAACCAGAAGGACCTACAACTAGAATATACAACTATGTACTGGGGGGCTTTGGGGAGAAGGAGAAGAAAAAATTTTAAAAAAGATCAGCAACAGATGTTAGCTCAGGTGTTGATCGTTAAAAAAAAATTAAAGAAAAGGAAGCACCGGATTTTAAGAGATAATACATTAAATATTCTACAAACAGAAATACACATGTACAGTCCCAATCATCTAATTTACTATATTGAAAACACAGGGAATGAAGTAAAAATAACTTGAGTACTGGAATATAAAAAATATATATAACATAAAGGACAAGCAAAAGCACATATGAACACATTCAGTGAAACAGATTCAAGTTAGAATGAAACTGAAGATTTCAAACTGAAAATGGGCAGGTAAGGAAACCCCCCAAAGCTGTGCTGTCCAATATGGCAGCCACCAGCCACACGGGGCTATTTAAATAAATCTGAAATTCAGTTATTCAGTTGCCCTAGTCACAACTCAAGCGCTCAGCAGTGCCTACTATGTTGGACTGTGCACACGACAATATTTCCATCCTCACAGAAAACTCCATTGGACATGCTGATCTAAAGGATGTCAGATATGACAGAAAGCAAAATAAGAGTGAAGGGGCTCAGAAAAACACAGAAGAAAATGTCTATCTAGTAACAGGATCCGAAACAACACGGTGTCTAGATGTTGACACAAAATGTGTTCAGCACAAGTTAATAGAATGAATAGAAATTTTTGACATAAGAAGACAAATATAATTCCATGGATATCATTGCTGGCTTTCAGAATGTAACTAAAAATGAGTACAGTCTCTATTCAAAATTAATGGTTCTCACAGACAGAAAAAATAAGCAACTCTAAAGACTAAAAAGATATGTGCCTCCAGGGAAATCTGCGAGCTTGACAATGATACTAAAAGTTAAATAATAATAGCACATAGAGAACAGAGGTGACACCCTGCTGGGGTTTATGCTGCAGAGCAAGAGGGTAAGAGCTGGCAGATGGCTAAGGAGGAAACGCTCTGTTCAACGTGATCACTGGCAAAATCTGCAATGGATTTTAAAAAGCATAATTTTTAATATAAAAAGTAAGTGTGACTGTGATCAAATACGGTTTATAAAAAAGTCATTTACTTTATTATTATCATGGTTACCAAACCCTTCTATAATGTGTACTATGTGCCAAGCACTGCTTTCAGCATCTTGCAATTCTATGACAATCTAGGACAAAGACATGAGTACTACTCTCTCTTTACAGATGAGGGAACTGAAGACAGAGAGGTTAAGTAACTTGCTCAAGGTCACACAACTTATAAGGGGTAGAACTCTGATTCAGTCCGGGCAGTATGGCCCCAGGTTCTGTGCTCTAAAACTATTAAGATAATTTGTTTTTGAAACAGACCAGGAATAACTGAAAACACAATGTATCTAGATTTCTGCAAAGAAGGAGGCAAAGTCTCTGATAGTGCCCCTCAGAGCAGAAAATGGAAACTTGGGCCAGGTACTATTACTGTTGATGAGTATAAAACTGGCAGATGCATGGTATCCAATGGCGCTCACTCACTCTCCTTCCTTTCCCCCTTCCCTCTCTCTCTCTCTCTCTCTCTCTCTCTCTCTCTCCTCCAATCAAGGTCTCTTAATCTAGGCATTATTGACAGTTCCTCGTTTTGGGGGCTGTCCTGTACATTGTAGGACGTTCAGCATCATCCTGGCCTCTACTCACTATAGGCCAGTAGCCAGCCTTTCCCCCACCCCCCTACCCTCAATTCTGACAAATAAAAATGTCTCCAGATATTGCCAAATATCCCATAGAGGGTGAAACTGGCTCAAGTTGGGAACCACTAATATAGTGTATACTTTGAGTATACGTGTAACAGATTTATTATGTGAAATGTTACAACAGACTGAAACAATATGCTATAATAAACAACATAGACTTTATTAGAAATAATGTGCAATTTTGCATTTAAGTTAATTCTGGATGGCTTAGACAACCCACTTAAAAATATTAAAAGAACAGAAGAAAATATAAGTGAGCATAGCTCAGAGCTCATGGTGAGTAAGGTGTCTCTAAGTATGGAACTAAAAAAAGAAATTCGTGATAGAAAAAAATAATATATTTGACAAAATATTAATTATAAACTTGTAAGACAAAAATATTATAAGCTAAACTAAAAGGCAAATAACAAAATGGGAAAACATATCATATGGTGGCCTAATAGTTAACATCATTAATATGCAGAGTTTTTATCATTCATAAGGAAAAGAACAATATCTCACTGGTAATTGAGCATAAGACAAATCAGGCAGTTCACCACAAGGAAAGCAAAAGAAATGCTGGGTGACACTTAACAATGTTTTAACTGGTCTCATTAGTTCTTCAGGTCATCTGTTGGGACTAGGTGAGCTCTAAGTTGTCTCCATTGTAAATTTAATCATCCTCTGAAAAGAGCAGTGGGAGTTCTATATCCAGACAGGGGAAAAAAAGATATTCAAGGGTTGCATACTTAATAAATCCCAAACAAAAGAAATCTGACAATAGTAACCAGCTGTTCCTTCTTTCTCTATTGAGAAGAAAATGAGTAAAAACAAAACTACAGCATTAAAGATTTAAGCTAGAATGAAAGAAAACTTATTTGACGTGAAGTTGTTAGAGAGTAAATGCAGTTAGATTGTTTTTCAGTTTTTGGATAAGTTCAAAAGCAAAAAGAGATTTAAAAAAAAAAACCAGCAGAACATCTCTGGAAACTTCTTTGAAAATACAATAAATCATTCTAGTCTGATGGGAACTTAAAACCAATCCCAACCAAAGGAAAGAGGATAAATGGGAATTAGATTACATTTAAAATTTTTCCAATTCCTATCCTTTCATAAAACTAATTTTAAAGCCAGACCAAAAGTTAAAGTCGTTCCAAACAAAACTGCAGTACTTTGGCATCCAAAACATTACACTCAGGTAAGTAAGGAAACCTTTTTATGGAGTTTGAATTAATCCATTATCATCCACAATACAGGTAGTTATTAGCATGAGCAATATTTCAATAGATACCAGCAGTAATATACTAGCTTCTGTTCCATACACCCTACTATACGCCAGAGTCGGTGCTAAGCACTTTACATAGTAAGGATTCATTTAATGCTAGCGGTAACCCTCCAAGATGGGCCTTCTCATCTCCATTTACTGACGACATGTCAACAGCTCAGAGGACACATCTAATTTTCACATCTTCAAGGAACTCCTATTATCCTAATTATCTTGTAGGGACTTAACAAACCCCAACGTATTAACTTTTTCATTTACGGATGGTCCTTTTAGTGTCATGTCTAGGAATTTATTTATAAACTTATTTATAAACAAATGGATAAATATAACCATAATGG